CTTTCGAAACAAAAACATTAAGCTCCGACTGTAATTCAAAAGAATTTATCTCACTTTTCTTTAAAATTTCTTCTAAAAAGTATGCCTGAATTTCACTTTTGTAATATCATCTTAAAAATGAAATAGATCTTAAAGTAGTATGCATTATCACTAAACATGAATTAATTAACATAATTGTTAATAAGTTTGAGAATAAAATAATAAACTTTGTGCAATTTATCAAGTAGCATTAAATATTTTATACTTATAATAGTTGGTCATATTTGAAAGAAGATAAGTGACATTTACGTTTTACTAACAGTCAGCTTTATGTCGATTATTTTTTTGCTTTGTTTTTTTTTTATTTTATTTTTTTGTTTTTGTTTTATGTCTCATTCTGTCACACACTTGGTCAGTCTAGAGGTTTAGTAAATAGCATGTAAATTTTATGTGAAACGGCATATTTTAAAATAAGAAATACGATCATAATCAGCATGATTCATAAGAAAAGACATGTTATCACCGCTACTGCGTGTCTAGAGAGAGATCTGCTGATTAGAACAAACATGAAAGGCCTGATGTAGGCACGGTTGGCAAGTGTTGAAAGTTAGTCAGGCTCTGGTTGATGCAGTTCAACGCCACCTAGATTGTAGTCTAGGTGACGTTGTGCAGTTAGTGTCGTAGCTTCGTGTAGAGTTCGAGACGTTTAAGTTAAGGGTAAGCAGTTAGTTATAAATAACTAAATTAGGTAGTTTGATAACCTTAGTCATTATGGATTTACATGACCCACTATTAAATTTTATTTTTTAACAATATTTGTTAAAAAAGCCCTATTAAAATCAAAATCTAATAAACTTTCACAGTTTAAAATACATGTAATTTATAACACAGATTACACAATTTATGTAAACGATATTACGATAATTACACATTAAAAGCTGCAAAACATTTATGTTTTGTAACAACAACACCGAACAAAATATTTATCCGTCATTTTAATTTGAAGCCTTCCTAGACATTTTGGCTAGTTTATATCGATTTCCTTCTCTTTAAGCATCTTTTCTAACAATTAGAGATTTGTCTCAATATGCAAACCAATGCTGTCGATAGTTTCTGTGTGCTTTATCTCCTAACTTGTCAATCTCTCCACAATGTACCTATGAGGGTTTAATTGATCTGGTAAAAGTTAAATAGTCCAAAACCCCGACAGACGTGAGGCATATTATCGCTATGTCTGAAATTAACTACAATATCAGACAAAGATTCAAATATACCTCTTATTTAAAAAGACTTTAGAACATAAAGGCACGTTCTGATGTTAACAACATCAATTAGAGCTCACGGTGACATAATTAAAGAAGAACAGTCAAATTCAAACTAATGATGTGGACTAATAGTCAAACATTATACAATTTTATTTTAATTTAATCTGGCTCAATAACTCCTATCATATGAGGAAATAGAAATGGGAAACTATAGTATAGGCTGAAATCATAAACAATTGAGTAATTTACATAGTAATAACTGCACATATCTTTGAAGAATAATTTTCTTTATGTATTCACTTTCTGTCTTCAACTCGTTTCCTTTTCATTTTAGAATTTTTGGATTTAATTAAGGATTTCTGTTATTCTAAAAAACACAAAATGCATTTAGAATGTACAGAAAAAGCGGCTAATTTTATTTCTTTAGTAATATAAACATTCAGAAGAAATATAAAATATATATAATAAAGGCCGGTTACAGATCTGATGTGCAGAATTTCTAGAATTTAGTGACACACCAAACAACAAAATCTAGAAATGGCAAAACTTTTAGAATTTAGAGCAGGCATTGGAAGCAGAACTTAGAAAGGCACTAAGCAGCAGAATTTAGGATCCACAGAGATTGCATCAGGTGGGAAAATGCTTAGTGCCAGCTATGTGTATGATGCATTAAGAAATATTAGATGAATCTTTTAAATTGTAAGTTTTCAATTACTTTATTAATAAAAAAAACCTTTCTTTAATGCCTGTCCATGTGATAAGATTAGAAGCACTTTTGATATTTTCCATGCTTGTGTCTAGTGAAAAGTACAGAAAATAAAGGGAAGATAAACATGTTAAGATTCTAGTATCATAACTAAAACATTCAAATATTATGTTTTCATTGTTCTTTCAGACGTTCTCCAAAAAGTAAGAAAATCATTGCAAACTTTCTGTAAAATACATCCATTACGTGTTGATGCCATGGAGACAATTTTAATTTTGTCACATATTTCTCGAATCTTCTAGAATCGTGGGTCTGTAAATCTTGCCTTCAAATCCTTCTAAACTTCCCAAGCTGCAATTTTTAAAATCCTAAAGAAAAATTATCCGTACCATTTCTGTAACAGCAAAAGGCCAGAAATATTTTGGGAAAAAAAGGGAGGGAAAAAGTTATAGAGAAATTTTATAGAGAAAACGATACTTTTCCGTTTCGTCGGCGCAAATCTCGCCAAGCAGACTTTGTAGGCGACAACATACAATATACAAATAAAAAATGTTAACAAATGTTAGTTCTAAGAATTTTTTATTTTGAAGGCATAAACATTTTAATATCGTTTAAAATTTTGTAAAAATCCAATAAATGAACACAAAAATTTGTAAAAAGACATTAATTTAAGAATTTACTATGTTTTCATTGTTCAACATTCTGATTCACCAGTTCATATCACGTGACCCTAAGTGATCTCATCTCACTTAAACTACGCTACAAAAGTCTAGTTCTCTCAGTAATTATCTACATTAATTTCAAGTTAAATCTTAATTTGGAATACAAGTTTAAATGCAAGAATTGTTTCAATTCGTACGAATAGCTTACTCAATTATTTTAAACGGCAGTGCTTTACTTCGCTAGTGCATTCTCAATAGGATTGATGAGTTCAATCCTTGACTTTGCCTTTAGCTATATTTTTGCCTTCGGGTGAGTGTTGTGATCGCATCCTAATTTTATTTAATTACCGCGAATGTTCTTAAGACATAAAATTGAACTATCTGGTAAAACTTCCATGTAATTGTATACCTGTATTGAAAGAGAACAATCAATCTGATAAGAAATGGCTGCTACTTGTTTTGAAAATGAGACGTAAAAGTTTACCAGCTAGGATATTCCGTTTGGCATCAGTTCTACTATTATTGGCGTCTTTATCGCTTGCTCCGGCAAAACGGAAAAGTACCGAAAAACTGTTGCATATTCTGAGAATTTTGAATATTCTGAGACAATTACATGGGAAAAACTCTTAGTATGAAAAAATTAAAAACAAGACATTTTTAATTAATTACATAGCTAATTTTGCTTTTGCTAAGAGTGGTTTCGTAAAATTGTGCTTTATAGTATTATAACTTGCTTATTTTTCAGATTGAAAATATTGTATAATAAGTTGCCAAAATGAAACTTTATAATATGACAGCGAAAAATAAAAATGTTTTATTTTTATATGAAATTTATGAATGTTACAATGTTTTAAAAAAATCGTCTAAAAATTCTCAGATATCGGAATTAAGAAGTTTCTATAGAAACTAATCTTAAAATCGCCAGAATGGTGAAAAGTCGCCAAATTTAGAAATGTTTAATAAAAGAAATCACATCCCCAAAAGCGAAAAGTTGTTTAAGAGCTCTTTATTAGAAAGAATGAATTTCGAAATGCTTATGTTTTACTTCTTTCTCAGAAACTCGAATATCCCATCATTTATATTAGAAATAAAACTAATTATAACTCAATAAAAAAAGTTCAAAAGATAACCATATATACAGCAGTGAATAGCCAAAAATATTTCTCCAAAATGCTATTTCACACTCAAAACGGCAGTCGTAAAAACTGACAGAAATTTCAGATAATTAAAAGTAAGGACCTTCTGATGATTTTGGCCAAAATTAAGGACCTTTTAAGTACCAAAAATCGATTCCAAAAAATCTAAGGACTTTTAAGGACTCTTAATGTTGGAGACGGCTGCTGCAGACAGACGATTACATAACGGCTCGGCGAAGATCAACAGAAGGAGCGCCGCATCTGATTGGACTATTTTTTAATATTCTTATTTTTTATTTAACTGCGAACTAAGCGGGGAAATTCCCTTTTCACTCAGTTATATGTATGCACTAGTTAGAGTAATGTAATGTTTTCAGCTTGTGTGAAATATCCATATTAAATCTTTATATTAATAATCCCTGCTGTGATTATTTAATTTGTAACCTGCACGTTGTAGCCCTGAGAGTTTCAACACTTAAGGACCGTACGAACCCTGGCGTATCACGAACTCTAAGAGACTACTAAAAATATTTTAAAGTAGTCATTTGTTAACTTAAGTAAAACATCACTCATGTAAATAATATGTCATTTTTCTTTAATAAGACTAACTACTACATAAACATATATTTAGCTTATTCTATTATTTTTTTTCCTTGCGACTTCTAAGAAACTAAACTCTTTTACGTTCATCTCTTTTATGTTTATCTCTTATAACAACTTCAGATTTATGTATGTTACATTAATGTACCAGTATACTGTCGTGTATTTACTTTTGGTACATATAAAGTATATCTAAAATTAAAGGAAAGTAAATATAAAATACAAACTACATTTAATTTGAAATCCAACAACAACTGCCATCAAATGACAAAATCCCGATTCCAGCATTTTCGGTGCCCTAAGCGATAAGTAATATCCCTTAAAATCATGCTTGGCTCAGTGCCCCTGATCCCAGTTTAATTTAAATAAATAATATTTTAACTCTATGAATGAGGCAAATATACTACTTCGAATATTTCAACATTTGTCATGGATGTTTTGCTAATAGGAACATGGCTGCTAGCTATTAAACAAGTGTCATTCATCGATAATGGAAAAGGAAAGAAGACCCTTTTTGAATTTTTGAAGTTCTTCGAATAAATCGAATACTGTACAGATTGGGGGGGGGGAGGAAAATATATCTTATTTGGTTAATATAATATTTAGTTCTTCTATACTTAATAGGTGGCAACAGAAAGTCGTTTCCATTAATTCAATTTAATCGTTATCGGTTACTTTTCTGTAGGCAATTTCATTTATTTATAAATATCATGTGAGTGTGTCATAATACTTGTTAAATATTTTGAAACTTATGTGATATATATGTGATTTATTTACGGCACATTCTTTTGGAACTAAGCTCAAATTTTCACTTTTAGTAAGTATCTAACATCTGTTTACATTCTTTATCTTTCTTACTTTCATCTTATTTATGTTTATCTCTTATAACATCTTCAGATTTATGTATGTTACATTAATATACCAGTATACTGTCGTGTATATACTTTTGGTCCTTTGAACAATGAATCAGAATTTTTTTTTGTTAAAGTCTAATCTCTACCTTTGTATTACACTGAAGTAAAAAATTAAATTCCTTACTGTCCATAGAAATCGTATTATGGTGCTGTTGATGTTGTTGTTTTTTATGTAAATGTAGTCAAATACATCTGTAGATTTTTTTAAGCATTACTTTATATGAATAACTAGTGCATTATTTACTATGTGTGAATAACTAGTGTTACTGCTGACTTCATTTATTTTATAGACGACTCAGGCGAACGCAGTTCGCTAAAGCGGGCTCCCGCGCGGTTGCGCTATCCCGGGATAACCAGTGATGGCGATTTTCTAACTTGTGATTTTACTGAGCATAAAAAATTCCTGAAACATAGAGAGAGTACTTTATAGACTGTTAGTATAGAATGTATTTCTTTTTACTTGTTATGTAATTCTAAATGGGGGCCTTTCAGCACATTTGTTAGAAGATTTGCAGATGTGTTAACATGATCCCCAGACATTAAAATTGGTGATTGCCCTGATTAAAGTTCTAGTTTATCTTTAGTCGGCCGAGGCGCCAAATATGCTTCATTTAAAATTAGATGGACAGCATGGATTGAATTTCCTGCAAAATGTAACTGAGCGAAATGGTATTATCAAAATAATTAATTAAAAATCATTTAATGTGTAATCAAAGGTAACTTTTGTTTCTGTATCTTCGGAATTAAAAAGAATAATATAATAGGTTTGTTATGGGAATATAATATAAGCATTCTAGACTGAGATTGCTTGAGATATCTTAAAAATATTGTATCAGTTGCAGTTCCTGATCTTGTAGTTGTGTCCTTAGGTTTGTTATTGACTCTCAAACCGAGTAATTCTTGCTATAGGAACTGGGTTTCGTAAACTTTTTGGTTTGGGGACGAATATTTACGAAAATTTTGTAGAACCCCACAAGCGTTGCACAAATCCAACACACACGTGAGTGAAACTGTCAGTTTCTTCACTTGTGCTGTAATATACTATTGCAGTTTTAGATCATTAACTTTAATTTTTAAAGTAAAATGAATGTTTCCATTATTAAAAAATGCATGCAAACCTTTTTCATTTCTCCTTTGTCAGTATTGTCTTATCTTTATGTATTTTGAGTTACATATATAAAAATATTTGGTAACTTTAAAATTATTATAATAAGTTAAAGAAATATCAAAATTGCTAAAATTTTTGGTGATCCCTACCGTAGGTCACACGACCCCAAATGGGGTTGCAACCCATACTTTAAGAAACTCTACTATACTATAGAGGTTGCATTTCAGAAAAAAAGAAAATGGGAGGGGGAACAACAAACAAACAAAAAAGTCGGTTAATCTTTGGATTATGGTAACTTCAGATTTTTTTGCGAAAATTTGGTGACCAATTCTGCTACAGCAACCTGCTAGTTTTTTTTTTTTTTTTTTGGATGCCATTTTGTTTTCACTCAACATTTTTTTCCAACAATCTGCTAGCCAAATTACGCTTATGCTAGAACTTTTATGGAAGAAAAGTGCTTAATCACGACGAAGATTAGGTGTGAAAATGGGAGAAGTGCAGAATCGCCCACTGCTTGCCGCGTTTTTAAGAATTGCACATACACGGTATCCATGTACACGCCGACCTATTTTCACTTAAAAAAACATCCCAGAATCGCACAAAAAATGGCATTGCGCACACTCTTGACTTTATCCGTGTACACTGCTAAAGTCCTAGCTAGTGACCTTTATCGCCTTATCAAAATGTCGCCAAACTACCTGTTACCATATTCCAAAGATTAGCCAAAAAGTCTGAAAGGTTTCAAATTTTGGCAGTTGCCCAAAAGAATTTCTTAACGTTTTTTATGCTCTTGTTGAGCTTGCAGACTGATCTTGCACTCACTCCTGCAAACCCACCTTTTTTTTTTCTTTTTAGCCCAAAGAGGTATTAGCTTAAAAAGGCTATTAGTCTTGAAACAGCATTTTGTTTCAAATCACTAAAAGCATTGAATCTCTTTTCAAATTGTTGCCGCAAAATATTATTGCTCTATATTATACTTAAGAAAATTAAATAATGAAGAATATGCATGAATGTACCAGGTTGTTCAATAAGTCCGCGGAATGGAAATGAAGAAACCAATTTTTATTTGTAAGAATGACTTTATTTTTCAACGTAGTTTCCCTCAACTTCAATACACTTATTCCAACGGTCTTCTAATTTATGGATCCCTTGACTATAGTGGTTTTTCGGCAGCTCTGCAAAATATCCCTCCATGGCAGCTATTACCTCTTTGTTTGAAGAAAATCGTTTTCCACAGAGATATTGTTTGAGGTGTGGGAAGAGCCAGAAGTCGGAGGGAGCTAAATCTGGCAAATAGGCTGGATGTTGCAACAATTCATACTTCAATTCAGTTATTTTAGCAATGGTTTTTTTAGCTGTGTGCGCAGGTGCGTTATCTTGGTGGAAAATGATTTTCTTCTTCTGTAATCCGGGTCTTTTGTCACGAATTTTTTCTTCTAATCGATTCAAAAGGTTACAATAATCATCTGAATTAATTGTTTGCCAGTTTGAAGGTAATCTATAAACAAAATTCTTTTCGCATCCCAAAAAACTGATGCTAACACATTCTTGGCTGATTTTTGCACACGAATTCGCTTCGGCGCCGAAGAGCCGGGTTCACACCACTCCTTAGCCTCCTGTTTTGATTCAGGATCATGATAGTAGACCGAAGTCTCATCCATTGTGATAAATTGATGGATAAAGTTGCTTTTATTCTTCTTAAAACGCTCCAAATGTTGCTGGCAAAGTCACATCCGAATGTGTTTTTGCTCCATCGTTAGAGAATACGGCAACCATTTTGCACAGAGTTTTTGAAACCCAAATTAACACTCAAAATATTGCTCATTGTGCCCAATGAAATGCCTAAAGCCTCTGTTAAATCTCGTTCAGTCAATCGATGGTCTTCCAATACCATATCTTGTATTTTTCCGATGATTTCCGGTTTTGATGCAGTTTTTGGACGTCCTTCTTGCGGATCGTCTTCAAGGCTGGTACGACCACTTTTGAATAAACCAGCTCACTTGCAAAGCATTGTTTTTGAAGGAGCAGATGCACCCAACACATTCACCATTTCGGTATGAATTTCCATTGCCTTTAAACCTTTCTTTACAAAGAATTTGATAACTGCACGCTGCTCAATTTTATCCATACCTGAAAAAAGCCACAACACGTTAGATATAAAGGGCAGTTAAACAATGAATAAATTAACAGATTGAAATGAAACTTTTGACGTGTTCCTAAGAAAGAACAAATATGAAAATGGCATCAAAGTTTTAGTTCTAATATTGATGAATAGATGGCGCTCCGCGAATTTATTGAACAATTTTGTATGTTATTATGATAATAACAATCATACCTGTTTATCTGTAGGTCAGTATTCTTCACTTCTTGTAGAATCTTCTAAATATGCAATAATGCATCATAACTAATAGCAATGTACTCCATAGTCAGTATTATTCTTTGGAGCCATCTTTATCTTGTTTTTCCCTTCAAATGTTATTTCCTTGGCCACTGAGAGCATTAATAATGCAACATTTTTTCTGTAACGAACTATTGGATATTATGCTTGAAACTGTAGAAAATTCAGAGGAGAAGTGTTATTATGAGGCACCATGTATTTTAGAGATGTGTATGTGGCGAAAGAATAGCATCTTAATCTAAGAAATACACATATCATGTGTTATTAAATTTCATACTTTAAGCTCACTATAAACATCACAGATAAAGAACAAGATTATAATTACTTTTCAAGTATTTAATACAATGAAGTTTTTTTTTTTTTTTTTTCTTCTTATTTATTAGTGAAGTAATTGTTCTTCCATAATTCAAGTTTATTTTTCTGTAGAGAAAATTATTTTTATATTTTTAATATAATCTTTTTGTTTTTTAAATAGTTTTTTCCTCCTAGTTATTGCATACGAAGATTTGTTACCATGTCCACTTCTGCAATGGAAAGTATCCTTTTTATGATTCAGTGTTATTACAATATAGGTTGACCATAAAAACTATAATTGCATAAAAACATAATGCATAGTTCTTTTTAATTATTTTCTTACTGATAATTCATAAATCATGATGACCCCTTAATAGGAGGTAATTTTTATGATATTTAATGTATGCTTTTTATTTTTATTACTGTTTTTTTTTTAAGGGCGCTAACCTAGGAAAGCATGTATGAAGGATTATGAGACCCTAAACTACTTTATTGGTAAATCTAAACTGATTACTTTTTTAAATAGTCAAATCCTAGGCTAGGCAAGGTTGACTCAGCCTTTTATCCCTTGAGTGTGTCAATAAAATGAGTATCAAGTTCATTTCGGAGGGCCCCGTGACAAGCTGACCACTTGTCTGGGGCATATGCAACCCAGATCCTGTGGTCAGGAAGGTAGACATCAGGGCACTGCAGGCCATGGCCAACTAAAAGATTTTAAGAGATATCTTGTAATTCTTGTTTTTGTGCCATTAGTACTAGTATGTATATTTCTGCATCTAAAAAGGCATGACTGCATAAATTTAAAACTGATAAATAGCAATCCAGATAAATTAAGGTAAATAATCGGGTAGGTATACCATCAATACTAAAGGAATGTATCAACTGTCTTTAATGTAATATGCTTGTCATATTCTATATATGCTGTTAATATACTATATGACATATACTATATGCAATTGGGTTGTTTCATGTATATTGTGAAGCTTAGCTAAATGCATAAATTGATTATTTGCCCTTTCACTGAAAAGTTGAAAAAAGTATTCACGAAGAAAAACAGTATGTCACTGAAATATACTGCCCTCCAGAAGTTAAGGAACAGCATGTTTTTTGTGTCTAATTTGAGAATGAAGCAACATAGAAATAAGAAATTTACAGGACATTTTCACTAAATGATCGCCTGATGGCAAAGTGGCTACACCACAGGTGTGGGGTTTGATCACTGGGCTGGGCAAGGCTGACTCAAGAGATGATAAAATGAGTACCAAGTTTGCTTGGAGACGAAATACAGGGGATCCTGCTACAAGTGACCACTTGCCCAGGGCATATGCTGATGCATCCCAGGGCCAAGGTCAAGAAAGCAGATTTTCGAGGCACTGCAGGCTGTGACCCACTAGGGCTTTTATGCCACCAAGTTTGTTTTTGTCTTTTTTCTTTTTTAGTTCGCTAAACAGATTTTTAATGAATGTGACATAGAATGTATCTATAGTTAAACACAAAAATGAATTACAACAAAAAAATTGCATTCTTGGCAGAGAAATCCAGTCTTGGAGAAACAGTATATCACAGTTTTTTGACGAAAAATGGGGTGATAACATTACAAAAAATAGGTTGTAAGAAGGAATGTGTCCACCCCTAGCTGAAATACATTGGCAGCAGCAACGTTCCATGCTGTCAATGAAGTTGTTGGTCAGTGAAATGGGAAGCAATGACCAAACACAGAGTAATCTTTGTTCAAGCTCATCTAATGACCTTGGAGGAGGACTTAAAGCAGCAACCTGTCTCTCAATGTAGTCCTAAAGGTGTTTATCAGATTCAGGTCCGGGAATTGAGCTTGCCATTCCATTCATTCTATACCGTGACCCTCAAGATATTTTTCAGCAACCTGAGCTCTGTGCAGTCGCACATTGTCGTCCATCAGAAGAAATCCAGGACCCATAGCAGTGGCAGATGGGTGGAGATATTGATCAAGGATCTCGTCTTGGTATCTCGCACTGGTTCCTCCATGGAAGACAGTGTGACCATTGAGAGTTATCCCAGCCCAAACCATTACTTCACCACCTCTGTAACTGTGTCATTCCACTATGTGGGATTGGTTGTATCTAGTATGTTATTCCCTCCAGATCAGCTGATGACCTGAATCACTCTCCAGTGTGAACCTGGACTCTTCTATAAAGACAACAGATGCCATTGTTGAGTGATCCAGGAGAACAGTTCTCTTGCCCAACATAAACGGGCACCTCTGTGTCCTTTGGTCAAAGGGACACAAACAACTGGTCATCTTGCATACAAACCTGTATTGTGCAGGCATCTGCACACTTTAGTAGCTAAGATTCTTGTTCCTGTTGCCACTAAATGATCTGCCATGAGCTGAGGCACAGTAATGTTACTCCTCCTTCGGACCAAAAGAGCTAAATAACAATCTTCCGCAGGTGTTGTACCAGGTCTGCTTGGAACATGACTTCTAGACACAGAATCTTCGGATTCAAACTGATTCCTAGTAGGTGGACCGAACTGCAAGAGACATTGAGACGTCTAGCAGCATCAGCTTGTAATATCCCCATTTCCATCCATCCGATCTCTAGCGATCTCAATGAATTGGGCAAACGACTTCTCCTGGTTATTGTCCATGAAACTGTAATAACAACTGAAGATCAACACTTGTGAACAAAAACTCCAATTTTTGCATTTTTTCTCCAACTCCTACATGAGTATTCATTTCTATAGAATAAAGTGGTAGCTATTATTTACGTATATATTTTCTTAAACTTCATTACTCTCATGCATATGAACTGTTAATTTAAACATTACTGACATTTTTGTAATGGTCAGCTGTGAAAACCATGCTGTTCCTTAACTTTTGGAAGGCAGTGTAGTTATGTGGCAACCCACCATGTCACAAAAATGTGTGGATGCGTGTAACAAATTGTGATACTTTTTTCTAAGTGAAGACAGATCACTGTGTACATTTGGAAAACAAAGTGCAAAAAAAAAAAAAAAAAAAAAAAGATTTTCATGAAAAAAAGTAAGAAACTAATGTTTCATGTTTTTTAAATTTGATTAATTGATCTCTTTTATATGGAATTCTTAGCATGCTGCCGTTTTTTGAAATGGCTGTTGCCTTTCATGCATAAGTTTGGTGAAAAATTTGTCTCCAGCGAATTCGTGAATGCTTTCCAGAGTTAACAGCAAGTATATAACTTTTTGGTGAAGCGTGCACATAATCAGAAAATACCCATACCATTTTTTTAATGTCATTATTTTGATTCTCATATCCATAAGGTATTTAAAATACATGTATTATCTGATGTTTCCTTTAACTGTTTAAAAGAGCATTTATTCAACCTAAAATTTGCTGCAAAAGAAATGGAAAGGAATTCAAAAAGATGTGAGAAAGAGGAAAAAGCAGAAAAGACTAAACTAAAAAAGGTAATTTTTTTAATGCTTTTTGTGTAATAATGAATTTCAATTTTTTATAAGTATTTCAGAGAATTCATAAATGGGAGTTTTTGCTTTACATAAAATACTATGATCAGTTATAAAAGTTGGCTATCTAAATAATAATAATGTAATTGCTATTTTTCTCAAGTTATATTTACAGTGGATTGAATGGATGAAATCACTGAATGCAGGAATTTTTATCAGTTTCTGATATGAAATCAACCATAATACCAGCTTTTATACTGTTTTCTATTAATTTTGTATTTAACATTATCCGAGTTACCAAGACAAAAAGAATTATTACAGCTATTGATTTGGGGGGGTAATATAAGTTTATTTTAAAATTAAAGTATCCATAAGTAAAACAAGAGTTGTCCTATATCTCTCATTTTAGTCAATCAGTTGACAAAATTTCGTTTGTATTTTTCGTGTCTCAAAAGTGAGATTTAAGATATGTATTATATATATATATATATATATTGCATTATTCTAACATAAATATTTCAATACAGAGTCAGACATTTTTCTAAAATAACTTATATTTCTGTGCTGTGCCTCAAAGCATTAAGTTTTGTAAAAGTGTTCAAAGTATTAAGTTTGTGTCTGATGAGTAGTTACAAATGTGTCATCAAAATTTTAGTTCCATAATGTTCATTTGTTGTTCATTTTTAATAATCTTAAATTATTAAGGTTAAGGCTTAAATCCATATAAAGTCCCGACTTTTTTTTATTTATTTTTAAATACATTTTTGGAAAGTTTTTGAATTATAGCTTATGAAAATTTAGACACCATCTTAGTGTAAGTATCTTTAAAACTTTTTCCAAAAAAAAATTAGAATTTTATATTTGAAAATTTTCAAATTATATTTAAATTTAAATACTAAAAATGTTTTGCAGTGACTTTAAAATTAGCAGAGAATTAAAATCACTAATATCACCAAATCAGAGCATTTTTTTTTAGCACCATCATCTTCATCACTGTAGGTGGCCAGTCAGCCCATCATGTGACAGTGCTTTTCTCTGAAGATATTTCCATGTTGACTGGTTATCTTCAATCTCCAGTTCCTCTCATAAATTGTTAGAAAATTCAACTCTACTGAATCACTCCATATCAGCCATGATCTTCCCTGCTGTCAGATTCCAGTAGGTTTAAAAAGCACTTTTCTTTGCAACATTGTCATTTTGCCTTTGAATCATGGGAGTTATCCAATTCATTCTGTTAATTTTTAAATATTTTAATATATCAGATTGTCTAAATATCTTGTAAAGCTCAAAACTATGTCTCCTTTACCAGATATTATTTTTATTTATACCACCAAGAATACTTTATAGTATTTTTCTTTCAAAAGTTGCTATATACTCTTCTCCAGCTTTGTCTTTCCTCAGGTCACAGAAGCGTATATTAAAACGGGTCTGACAAGCGTTTTGTAAATCAAAAACTTTATTTAATCTAGATCTGAAAAACCTTCTTAGCCCACAGAAAGTCTTATTTACCTTATATATCTGATTCTGGATATCAAGAGATCATCTGTCATCAATAGAAAATCTGATGTCTGGATAAAGCCATTCATGGTGCTCGAAGGGTTAAATACTGTAATAACCAAAAACTTATATTAATTTCTTTCTCTCTATGTATGCTAAATAACTTTTTTCATGTAGTTATTGAATGAATTGCTGATTTATCTCTTTCCATAGTCAATTATGTTTTCGTGGATGTTTACAAAATTTGACAGCAAATCGTACTGTCTTAAGTCCAAACTGTGCCACTGCCATTTTCTGTCACTAAGGCCATTACAGAATTTTACCTTTGAGACATGATAAATACATGTTAAATTTTGTTGTCTGCCAACCGAAGTGGGAGATTTAGAACTGTATTCTCTCTCTCTCCCCCCTCTTCTTTTTGATAGGAGTTCTCACCGTCAAATAATAAGGTTGCAAATAGATGACCTTAATGTACTTTATTTATAAAAAAGCATTAGTTAATGCTTTTTTTTTTTTCTTACTAGGCCATTCAAAAAAATAATATGGAAGGAGCTAGAATCCATGCTGAAAATGCTATTAGGCAGAAAAATCAAGCTCTTAACTACTTAAGAATGGCTTCTAGAGTAGATGCTGTGGCAAGCCGAGTACAAACAGCTGTTACTACAAAGAAGGTCACACAGTCAATGGCAGGTGTAGTTAAATCTATGGAGGCTGCAATGAAAAGTATGAATTTAGAAAAGGTATGTTTATACAAAAAAGAAAATTAAGCTTATTTCAGTTTATTGTTAAATTTTAACGAAATTAGAATTATAATCATTTCTAGATTTGCCTATCAAAAATTTGTAAACTAGGTTGTGAAAGTCAGATGTAACATAATAAACAGTTAATAAAACTTCAGAAGAATATTATATTGTATTATGGCTATTATATTAGCTAGGGGATCGACTATATTATTTTGAAGTTCTAAATATCAAATGATAATTTTTCTTTCTTGAAATACTCTCCAAGTGTATAAACATGACATCCAGTACAGCAGCAGCATCCAGTAGAGATCAGGTGTATAAAATTGTTTAACAGTAGTAATTCAAATTAACTGATATTCTAATGAATGTGTAAGCTACTTGGAGTTTTTGTAATTTTCCCCATATTTAATATAAGTACAGCCATTTTCCAATAGAAAGTTCTCAGCAAAAACATCACTTCCTTAGACAATGGCCCATGTGTGTTTTGCATAATAAATTAGCTGACGTATAGTTGGAAATAATTACGTGTGATATATGCACACTCAGATATGCCTATTGGAATGTAGAGCATTATAAAATTTAAATAGAAGAAAAATAAATATTTTTCATTATACACTTTTAAAATTTTAATATTGCAAGTTATATCCCTTTTGCTGTGAATGTGCAAAAGACAGTTTTACTCTATCAACGTAGAACTTGTAAGATCATTCATGATGCTCAGAAAGATATCGTATCTCACATCTGCTGCCCATCTTTTGAATAATCACTCTTTTAAGACACAATAACACGCCGAATAAATACTGATTCAGAAGTCAAACAACAAAAATCAGCGTTAATTCACAAAATTTTTCTCTTTTGCACGTGGTGTGGCCGCCATTTTGTGATTGTAGGAGTTTCGGTGAGTACATTTTTGCAATTTTCAAGTTATGTTTATGTTTTGTACATTTGGATATTGTACTTTGCTTGTCTGATTTCATGCATTTTGCTTACAAACATTTTGTTTTTCTATTCATTTCAGTGAGGGATTTTTCTGCTATTTTGTGTGTACTTTATTATTGCTCAGTTAATTTAGTTTGATTTTCTGCATTGTTTATCATGCCTTCATCCGTTAATCGTTTCACTAAATTACGCCTGAAACGGCAAAAATTCCTGAATCATCTTGACTTTTTACTTAAATGTAAATGTAAAAAATTGATCCCCAATTTTATTCAAATCAAATCTAATCAAAAACCTTCGAGTCGCGTTTCAAGAATTCTGTTAAATTGCAAACTTGCCTTACTTCGGTCCGTGATAAGGGATACACGTCAACAATTGTCCAAAATTGAACATGAACTCTATAAGCTTCATCTGGAACTCGCTAAAACATATCCAAAATTCAATGCCCTTGAACAAAAGTCTTGGTCTAGAACGGAGAATGCAGTTAACCGTCATAAAAACACCCTTGCAGTTAAATTCGAAAAACTTCTTTTACAGTCTTCCAGTTCAAGTAGTTCAAAAAATCTTCCCATTGTAAACATCAAGCCAATAGTTAATATTTCTAATGTTAGTCTTTCAGAAGAACAAGAGAGAATTCTAAAATATAATTTTAACTTCTCACAAACCTGTAAACCCTCGATTCCAAAGATTTTGGCTCCTATCGAAAAAGCTTTCAAGTTCAGTAAAGTTTCAGATTCACAGAAAGAAATGATTAGGCATCTTATCGCTCATAGTGTGAAATTCAATAATAAACCTTTGAAACCAAATCTAACTGCGAGAGAAAGAGCTACAATGCGCGAGATTCATTCTAACCCGGATATTGTCATTTCAAAGGCCGACAAAGGTGGCCAGATAGTCGTCATGGATAAGAACACTTACATCGATGGTGTCACTAAACTCTTAAACGAAGGACCATATAATCTGATCCCTAAAGATCCTTCACCTTCGGACTTATCCAAAATAAAAACTGCGATCAAATCTTCGCAAATCATTTCAAGCAACTTAAAACATTCGCTTATCCCATCTGTTGCGAATTGTGCCAGATTATATGCTCTTCCCAAATTCATAAAAGTGGTATTCCTTTCCGCCCTATTGTATCAAATTTAGGTACTGCCTCGTATCCATTAGCTAAATATTTAGTTTCTTGATTTTCCACTCTATTAGACAATAACATTTACACCATAAAAAATTCAATAGAGTTTGTAAAAAAGGTTAAAAACATTTCTCCTCGTAATTTACTCATGGTTTCTTTTGATGTAAAAATCATTATTCACCAATGTCCCAGTGGAGGGTGCATTAAGATGTCTAGAAACCAGACTTCGCGAATTTCATTTCTCTTGCATCGAAATTGATGAGCTAATTTCTCTCACTCAACTCTGTTTGAAACAAACACATTTGTGTTTCCAAAATAAAATATACAAGCAAAAAACTGAGGGATTAGCCATGGGAAGCCCCCTCAGTCCCATCCTGGCTGATATCTACATGCATTATTATGAATCAAAATTGTTTGAAACTTTAAACTTCCCGGCATGGTTCCGCTACGTAGATGATACTTTTACCCTGTTTGAAGGTAATAAAGATGATTTAAATAGAGGTCTTTCAACAATGAATTCTATTGATCCTGCTATTCAGTTCACTTTTGAACTTGAGACTTGCAATTCTCTTCCGTTTCTCGACATTCTGGTCACACGTAACACATCCAACTTCAGTACTACAGTTTACCGTAAACCTTCATCGGTTTGCCTTCCACCACACTTTAAATCATGTCATCCGACTAAACAAAAGGTAACTTCATTTTATTCCTATGTTTTCCGTGCTCTTCAAGTTTGCTCCTCCAAACTAGCCCTTGATGAAGAATTAAATTATTTAAAAGCAATAGCTATTGACAGGGGCTTTTCACCCAACATTATTAATCAAGCAGTTAAAAAATTCTCATCTCAACACACTAAAAGCCACACTCTTGTTTTAGGAGATTATAAAAATTCTGTTGTCATTCCCTCTTTCTTTCCATCAATTAGCTATAAAGTTGCACATATTTTGCAGAAATTTAACTTTCGGGTTGTTTACTCTCCCATCAATAAAATTCCAACTTCTATACTCAAGGACCCCATTCCGGATATGAATTCCTGGGGTGTTTATAGGATTCCTTGCCAGTGCGGTTTAATTTACATTGGCCAAACTAAGAGAGCCTTAAAATTTCACGTCAAAGAACATGAGGCATATGTTAGAAAAAAGGAAACACAGAAGTCTTCTGTTGCTCAACATTGTTGGTCCGAAAATCACACTTTCAATTTTTCTGCTGCCAAATTATTCAAAAAACATCTTCCATTGGAGAACTGGATTTTCTAGAGGCATTTCACATTCATAAAAATCTTTCTATTCTAGTTAACGATCCTAATTCCAATCCAAATTTGCCTTCAGCTTTTAGAGAAATTATGTTTTAGTTCTGGTTTCGCCAACAGATGGCGCCACTTGCTTATTCTTGTCCAGGCTTTTTTATCTTATCTAAACATTATTTCCTATCTTGTTCATTTGCGGTTTTGCAGCTGAAGATGATGGTTCGGTAAAACCATCGAAACTAGTCCTGTGAAAATTTTGTGAATTAACGCTGATTTTTGTTGTTTGACTTCTGAATCACTCTTTATTTGCAACAAGTATTTCTGTGTAAAAAAACTCCATTTTAAAAGTGGTCCAGGTAAGAACCATGAAAAGACAAGAATAAGGAAAGCCGAATTTTCAAAAAAAGCTGTTTAATGAATATAAGACATTGTCTCCAGGAACATCAAGACTCGTATTGTTGCAGAAAGAGGGGGAAATAGTAGCAAGTATAACTAGATGTAACTTTTTGGAGGGAAGGAGGTGCTACATGTATTATGGCTATTATATCAGTTATTCTGGGTCCAGAGGCTTTTTGTATGGTGACCAGGGCTTTGGTTTCACATGCTAATGCTTCTTTCTATCCAGTTAAATTCAAAACAGAGAAATCATTTTATTTTGCTTGATTAATAATACAAATGATATGTAAAAACTTTCATTTATCGTCAGTATTATATGAAGGATATTCAAATACAAACAGAAATTTGCATGCTTCGTTGCTCTTGCAAAGAGTTCAACATACTCATAAATCGTTGGACAGACACACACACACACACACATATATGTTTGAACTCAGGAAAAGAAGTGCTATTTTCTCTTCCCATCACTTTTAGTTCTAATTAGCATGCTGGAGCAGAAAGTTGACAGCAGCACTGCATGAAAAATCATTAATTTTGGACATATGAAAGTGTTATTGCAACTCAGAATTATTCAAAATTTATAAATTAGTTGGAGGGTGAGTATTTCGCCCAGTCTTTGGTCCACTTACAGAATTTTTAAGAGTGGAAAAATTCAACTCTAATGAGCAAGTTATTGACTCTGTGTAAGAATGGTTAATATGCAAAAAAGACTTTTATTCTTCCTTAAAAAAAAAAAAAAAAAAAAAAAAAAAAGACTTTTACTGTACTTAAAAAACTCCCTAGGCACTAGAGCAAGTATATTGTAGTGACAGATGACTACATATAAAAATAGCTTATAAATCATGTCATTATATTCAAAGTTTAGGTAATAAATTCCAGTTGAACATTCCACATAAAATGTATACCTAGCTGAATTACAACATAAATAATAATTTAAAAATTTACTTTAGATTTCTTTAAAATTTTGTAATAATTTTATATTATGTGTGGAGCAAGTAAAATTCATTTTAGCACCCAGTAATAATTAAATGTATTGTTACGGATTTGGTATTTAAATACCTAATGTTAGTAGAATTATAAATTAAATTGTTTTATTCCCCATGCAGTGCAGTATGGGATGAGTATTAAGAGAAAGCTAAGCCGGAAAATTAAAAATACAAAAGCACGTGCATTTAACATTTAATAAATAAATATCTTTTTTTGATACATTTAAAAGCTTAAATAAGTCGCATGAAAACCTTTTAATTTGTTAGTTAGTTAGTTGTTTTATAAGTTTTGTTTAGAAAACTGCTGTTGTGAATTCGCGTGAAATTGGATTAGCTTTCTCTATTTTGAATTAGTTCTGTTGAACAGTTTTAGTAGTTTAAAAGGTAACTACTGTGAGATATTGGGATATTGTACAAATATCTGAGGACATTTAAGCATTTTTTTTTATTTCTTGTGATAATAATAAATTTTATTAATTTTTCCTTTGATTTATGCATTTAATTCATAAAGAACCCATATGCACGCAACAATATATATATTGTTTACATCATATTGTGTTCTAAAAGAAAATACTGGAACTTTTAAAGTTTCATTTTATTCAACACTAAGAAATTAGTTTTAAGACAGGGGAAATAGTAGCCATTATTTTTGTTTAAGAAGAGAAAAGAAATATTTGTGCGACTTAATTCCTCGCTTCCTTGCCTATAAAAAAAGCTTTAATGAGAAACTTTTTAGATATTGATCTGTAATCTGAAGTTTTCAGATTGCAAATATCCCTTATCATTTGTACCATTTTTTAATCAAAAGGAAATGGATAGACAAATGTTAGTGTTTTCAGTATACAGTTGTTTTTAAACCACTTTATGTATATAAGTATTCATTTTCTAAGTTAGTATATCTTAGCTTAGAAATGACAGAATTGATTTGTACACATTCTTTTCAAAATGTGCCTTATTTTTCAGTTATATAAATAAAAATCCCCGTAGTATTCTTCAGTGAACATTTCAGGAGTTCAGAAATATAGAAACATAAAGAAAAAGCATTTTTCACTTTTCTGTTTAATAATTTTAATTTCTGAGATTTTACATGAAGACTTATAAAATAGCTAAATTCTAAATATGTGACCATTTTAATATCTTGTTCTTTTTTTTAATTAAAATAGAATTTAAGTATCTAGATTATTTATTTCATTTCATTTGTGTAAAATATTAATTTCATTTTTATTAATCATTTTCAAAATATGTATATTAGAATGTATTAAGTTGTCTTAAATTTGAATTTTTCTTCTTTTGCTAATGTAACAGCTAATTTTCAGATTTCGGCACTTATGGATAAATTTGAGAAACAGTTTGAAGATTTGGATGTGCAGTCATCATACATGGAAAACACAATGAGTTCTACAACAACTGTCACTGTACCTCAAAATGATGTTGAGCATCTTATGCAGCAAGTAGCTGATGAAGCTGGGTAAGCCTTTTTTTAACATTATTATTGTGAGAAAAATTAAAATAGCATTCTTTTCAATATGTCATGCTTAATTTTTAAACATGTTACATTAAGCAACATACTGCCTTTTTAAGAAAAGGATAACTCTTTGTATGTAGATAAGAGAATATTATTATGGTAATTTTATGACTATTGTTTTCCAGTTTTTTCAACTTAAATTTAAAATACAAAGTACACTGGTATTTAAAATTAAAAGATAATTGTAAAAGTGGTAGTACTGTATACAAAGGCTGATTAAAATCCCACCAAGTATAACTGTTTATTGTAGCATAAATACTAAATACACATTTAATATTTGAGCAATCAAATACTAAATACACATTTAGAAACAAAAAGGACCATGGTCTTACATTATTTATAATTATTTACATTACATACTATAGCCATAGTAATAAACTAACTTGTCGTAATGAACTATTGAACGCAAAAATTTTTTGCTATGCAAATATTTATTTGTGCACATGGTATGCAAATAGCATGACACAAACAAATCATAAGATGAAACATGTTTTATGTTACACCCATATCTTAATTAAATGTAAAAGTATGAGCTTAAAAGTGGTTAAATGTTTAATGGTTGACCACTACTGAATATCTTTAAAGAGCTAAGTATTTTCCAAAGCAATATGAAATTGATTTTTAAGTATGGCAACACTTAATCTTCTTGCTGGCCAAGGGCATCAGAGGATAAAAGGAGTATCTGAAGAATTATCATTTTTGCTTGAAGCAACTCTTTTTCAAACTTTTAGTCATTTGGTTATTACAGGCTCAAAGAAACATATTTGTTGCATGCTGTATGCTTCCCAATCATAGTCTCTTTGTGAGACAACTCATGTATTATATCTCACTATCTGCAATTTCTAGAGTAGAGCATTTTAAGTCGGTTATGTCTTAATAATCTGTGAAGCTAAGAATGGACCTGAATACTGTTCAGTGACACCAAGCTTAGTTTAAGTAGCGATCCTGGATTACCCTTTACCTGGAGAAAACCTGGAACAATCCTCTATCATATATCTATGAAAAACATTGTTTCCATCATGGCAGTTTACTTCTTTGGAGAGAAATTATGAGAAATGGCCATTGCAAGCTTTATGTCTATGGTAGAGGCTTTGTAACCATGCAGTGATACATAAATGAGTACTGAACTCTTAACTATATGAATGAGGCTGTAATATTTATATGTTACATATTTTTGATTGTGTATGTGTGGCATATTTAATGTTACTGTGTAGAATGGTCTTATTTTGTGGTATGCATTATTGGATTATTTCAGTAACATTTGATGTACATCTTTGCATCATAATTTTCCTAGCTGGTTTTAACTATTGGAAATGAAGCTGAACAAACATGCTGATACTAATCAGCTTTGTGATGCTGTGTAGCTTAATTTCACTACCTTACTTACTGAAGAATTTTTCAAAAGTGTAACTATTTAAATACCAGTGTCTGCCAGAACGTCTTAAGCCAACTAACCGTCTGGCTGTCACGTAATGATTTCTTTGTGCCCGCAGTGAAAAGTAATAGACTTCAAATGCAGCAGTTTTCCTCCGATCAGCCTAAATGTTCTCACTCTAAAAATAGTTTTATATTCTTGAGATCATGCTTTGGGTAATGTACAGCTCTCTGGAAGCATCCAATTGTGTTTGAATGGCTTCAGATTTATGAAAGATTTCCGCCTCTGATCTTCGTCTAAATAATGTCTTTCAGCCATGATTAAATAACATGCCCTGTTTCAAATTTATGATAGATTGAACATAAGTATATCTATGATATTGAATATTTCCTTTTGTGTTTTGTTTACATATGACATTTTGCATATTTTGTGTCCATATACATATGCAGCAATAAGTTTTTGTGTTCAATGGCATGTAATTATCATAAATAATTACATTTAATGGGATTTTAATCATCTTTGTACAATTAGCTTAATTTTTATAATTATCCTCTAACATCACTGACATGCATAGATAAATTTTAGAAGACATGTTCAGTTGAATGAATAAATTTTTATGATACATAGTTTTTAATGAATTAATTCTGATTTAGCTAAGACTATATATTTAGTCTATCTTAAACTTTACGAAGTATTACTTTAAAGTTTTATGTGTTACTTCTTCAGGTGGACTTTGTATATGTATATAAATATAGTAATTTATGTTAATATATATATATTACACTTATTTTCATAAATCCATCTCAAAATTCTTTCTTGTAATTCAAATGCAGCATGAGATTTCACTACTTACCTCCACCATTACCTTAAAGATTTTGCCATAATTGAATGCAAATTATTAGTGTTTGCATCGAAGAACAAAGATTTTGTGAAATCTCTTTCTCAGTATTTATAAAATAAAAGATTTAACATGTTTCAGGCAACTCCTTCCACCATTTATGATTTAATTTTTAATACATTATTTTTGTATCCGTATTGCTTCTAATGAAATATCTATATTTTATAGACTTGATTTGAATATGGAATTACCCCAAGGAGAGACAGGAACTTTAACAGCAACAGCTGCATCAACTGAACAGGTAAATTAAATTGCATATGATGTATTTTAAATTTTTATATTTTTGATATTTTTTGCTGTATACTTTATATTAAATACCAACAACTGTTTGATGGTTGGCTAGGTAGCCACAATTTTGATTGCTGCTTCTCTTATCATAACTGTAATTTCATCTGTGCTAATAATTGTATGCATTTTGCTAAATTCATCATTCACTGCACATTCTTTAAAATCATTTTAGTTTGATTTTTATAATAATTTTATATAGTAGGTAAATTATTGATCATTAAAGCATACATAGAGTGGTCTCAAACTCTGTAAACTTTTGGCAGTTGTGAGGTGAACAATTCTTTCTTCCCAAATAAGCACAATTTCTGTCAGTTGTAAAATTGTAATGTGAGCTTGGACCCACTGTGGTACATAAGTGGAATGTGAGCTGAGTTTGTTCATGACCATCAGAAAATGAAGTAAATTTTAAATTTTACTTACTAAATTTATCAGAACATACCTAAACAGTAATGATGATGACACGAAGGAAAAAAATTCCAATTTTATTTTCTGCTTGAAATTTAAAGGCAAGAAACTGTTGTTGGTTACTTTTTATTATTATTATTATTATTTAAGCATATCAGTAGCTAAATAGAAATATAATTCTAATAAGCTGAATTAACCACTAAGTAATTTGAAAAAATAAATAAATAAATAAACAAATTGCAAAAACTTTCCAGGTGGGAGAAAACTTGATAATAAATAATGGCAACTATTAGCATTCTTTTATTTATTAATTTTTTCTTTGATGCATATGGAAAAAATACATATATATGCATCTAAATAATAATAAACTTTATTTCAATTTTCAGCTACATCTCAAAGCATTTCGATTTGATAAAGTTTGTACCATTGGGGAAATATTATTACATGCAGGCTTTATCTGTAAATGTTCATCAGTCAGTGTGTGGTTCCTCTTTTGACTTATTAATTTTCACCTGCGGAAAAAACTGTTCATGTCTAGATGTGTTCTCAAACAAAGCAATTATTCTTTTTGCAAAAAATTAAAACTGAAAATAATTATGTTTTGACAAGTATGAAAAAGGTTAATCAAGTCTATATATCCAAATCTTTGAATAAGATTTATATCACTGTGTTAAATGAAATATATCCATTTGTATATGTTCTGGGTGTTTCTCATATTCATTTTAATAAAAAGGATATGCAAATTCCGGCTATTAATTTCCAGGACTCGTGGAATAACTCAGAAGAAAAAAAGGTTAAACACATAGCCATTTAATATGATTCAAAGTAATCCCCATCAGCCGTAATGCTCGTTTGTGCTCAAATGTACAAATTTCGGAAAGAAGTTTTAAAATCCTCTTTTGGATGCTCTTTAATAGTGACGTTACAGTTTTCTTGATAGCTTCTACATCCTGAAATCTTGTTCCCTTCAACGAATTTTTCAGCTTTGGAAAAAGTCTGTGGGTGCTAGGTCTGGAGAGTATGGTGGATGCTGCATTTCAATGACACCATGCTGGACTAAGAATTGTCTCACAAGCAACACAATGTGTGGGCAGGCATTGTTATGTAGCAGCAGCCAGCTCCCATTTTGTTGAAAATGAAGCCTCACTCTACGAATTCGTTTTCGAAGTCGGTCAAGAACTTCTGTGAAGAACTGTCCATTGATAGTCATGTTAGGAGGAAAAAATTCATGATGAATGAGTCCATTGCAATCGAAGAAAGCAATTATCATGTCCTTGATTTTGGACTTTTCAAATCGAAATTTTTTCTGCCTTGGTGAACTTGGAGACCGTCATTCGGAGCTTTGACACTTGGTTTCAGTGTCATATTGATAACACCAAGACTCGTCTCCCATAACTATCCTATCCAGGAACGCAGTGTCAGCATCAGCATTGTCGATAAGTTCGCCACATGTGTCCAGTCTCAATTGCTTTTGTTCGTCCATTAAAAGGTGAGGAATGAATCTGGAACAAATCTTGCATTTGCCTAGATCTTGTATCAAAATTCGCCGAACCGTCTTTTTGTCCATGTTCAATTCATTGGCGAGTACTCGAATAGTCAATCGACGATCACATTTCACCATATCGAGAACTTTTTCAATTGCTTCCGGCGTGGGTACGGTGCAGCCGACCTGTATGTGGATCATCTTCGCCGCTTTCGCGCCCTTAGTGAAAGCGTTTAAACCTGATGCAAAAGCAAAGTTTAAAGTTATAAAAACATTTAGCAGAAATAGCAATAGAAGCTCCCTAAGGTTATATACTGTACAGACATTGAAGACAAAAGTTTTAAACTTGACCAATTTATTAACAATATATATAAAAATAAAAATACAATAAATAAATTTAATCAATACCAGAAACTTAAAGAGTGTAACATTATCAAAAATTACATTTAGTTGACTATTCGTTAACCCCAAGCATTTTTCCTTTAAAGAATATTACACTATTAATGATACAGTAAATATATTACCTGATCTTTGAATACTGGCATTCAATATGCAAAAAACATGTCACAGAACAAAAACTACATGATTAATATGAATTTTACTTCACTATAAATAGGTCCATACTTTTGGCCAAGAAGGCACGTGAAAAATTAAACTAAACCTTGAGTGCACTTGAACTGGCAAAAGCCGCTTATTGTAGTTGCTCACGAGAAATCACAGCTTGGAAAAACATCACCGCTAGTCCTCTTGTATTGAAGATGCCGCCTTCATGAAAACAGAAAGCCGCCCATGGCAGTTGCTCACCGGAAATCACAGTTTGGAATTTGACGTTGCTTAACTTTGGAAACAGGATGCCGCCCACATCAGTTGACCACCAGTAACCGCAACTTGAGATCTATCACCGCCAAACCGTAGAAACAGGATGCCGGCCATGGCAGTTGCTCACATCGTAGCCGCTTTGCAGAATCCAGGAAAAATCATCTCGGACTGGAACCATGGCACTTATCGCTGGACGGCACACATCGCAATATCCTCTTCCAATGAGGGCTGGAATGGCACACCAAGGAGCAATAAACCAGAACGACGCGAGATACGTATACCTGAAGTAGACATGACGTCATCTCACGGCGCCAATCAGCTATTGGCACGACTCAGCTTTCCAGATCACGTAACATCAATTTTTCATTTTTGCATCTTAATTAAGCTGGAACAGTCCGCTCTTAATACAAACAGTGGCAGTGAAAAAAGAAGTAATTGCTATATAAGAACTAAGATTGCTAAAATAAGAACTAAACCTTATGTGAAAGTTAGAATTATTTCAAGGAGGAGAGATGATGCAGAAAAAGGGTTACAATAGGTCATATTTTCTAACAAAACCATTCAAAAGTTCTTGAGTGGGGTAATGCTTCCTAGCTGTAAATTTGTTTTAACATTTCGTAGGTTTCTGCAGCTGATTGGCCAATTTGAAGCAAAATTTAATGTTAATAATTCGCTCCATTTTCACTTCGACAACAGGAATTTAAGAACTATGTTTTAATGCACCTTTCCATGAGAACCACTTACTTCAGAATGGCGCCAATTTCACTGCACATGCACAAGAAAACGCTCTTCAATATGCAATTATTAGCGCCATCTTCTGACTTTTCGTTTTCCTACAGTTACGTCAATCCTGGAAATTAATAGCAGGACCTTGTAAAATTGGACTCAAAATTGTTAAAATCTGAAACTTACCTTCAAATTCTTGCCATAATAATTTATATCATAGGGATGCTAATTAATTTATAGGAAATGTATTTATGAGTTACATAAAATTTCTTTGGGGGCTGCCAGTGTAAGACCCCGCGTAAGAGATAAGTTAGTGAATCTCTTTCCTGTACCTATATGGACATAATAAAGTGAGCAATAAAGATCTGTTATGTGCTTTAGCCTCCCCCTTCCTCTAGAGGAAGAGTGTTTCTGTTATTGTAACTGTTGCTTGATACATTTAATAATATTGATTATAATGATACATTTAATAATGAATGCTATTGCTTAAACACTTGCTAGACTGAATCACTTTCATTTCATTTAAACAACTTTATACAGTATCACTTGTATTTATAATTTGAATTACACTATCATTAAGAATAAAGAACATGAATTTTATATATATATATATATATATATATATAAGATATTAGCTCTGCAAATTGTGTATAATTTTAAAATGTAGTCTTTCTTTCTTGCATATTTTTAATTTTAGATGCTATTGGCTGTTTGAAACTCAACCCCTGAAATCCAGCACATAACACTTTGCAGTTAAAAATATACTTTTGTCAATGATTGATAATTTGTTCAGTCTAATGGGAAAACTGAATCTGTAGTTAAATACCAAATTTGCTTAAAACAGTGTTCATAGCCCAGTAATAAGGTGACATAAACTTATTGAAGTGGAGAAAGTATTAGACTTGCTTCTCCTCCCAATGAATAATTAATTACTTAATTTTTTTTTATCTGTGTAAGAGATATATCATGCTTTTGTTACTGCTTATGTATTAAAAAGTATGTCATCAGTGTGTTTCAAATTTAGTTTTTGAGGTTTAGTGGATTTTTTTTTAAATTTAGTGAAATTTACTTAAGAGAAGGGCTTGCTAAAATGTATAAATCATCTTATAAATAGAGTTCTTAAAATAAAGGTTTCAAAACCCTTGATTAGTGCAAGAGAGATTTGACTGTTGTAGTAATTTAGATTTTTGAAATAGATATTTTATTGGAAAGTGACTAATAGTTTGGGTATAAAATAAGTGAAGTAAACTAAAATATATAATTTGAAATAACAGAGAATGTTTGAATATGAAATGTTTATATTTAACAGAAATGTATATTTTTAAGTTTGGTTCTAAAGGGAGTTGCTGAGTAATTTAAGAGTCGTTAGAATGAAATTCTTATGAATCTGTTAAAAGTTTAAACTTTATGAAATTGAAACATTCTTCCCCCTTTTTAGTTGCATGCAAATGACATGTTATTATCTTTTCAAAAGTATGCTTGAAAAAATTCTTGCGCAGTTGAAAAAAAATGTTACAATTTATGAAATGTTTCTGTATATTTTTCATACTTCTTTTCTTGTATATTTTCTAAAATAAATATGAAATTTTAAAGTAGTCTTTATTAAACATAGTGTTCAAAAATACACACTCTAATAAAGAAGTTTTGCTGTAAAATTATTATTAAATTCAGCTAATGTAAACTAAGCTCTGTCTCAAGGAAATGAACACAAAACTGTCATGAGTAAGATACGTATGTTAATTTACATAATAACATTACTATACATCCATCAAATTGTAATAAATACAACAGAAATTAAAAGGAAATATCAAAAGCTGTTATATATTTTTAAGACATTTTCATGTCTAATGAATCACTTTTCTCCTCTTCATAATTTTATGTGTTTTTGAAAAGCAAAACCAAAAGAGTTCCAAACTCTTATCAGAATAATAATTAAGTAGGTATTATTTTTTTAACCAGATATTGAGATTTTCTAATAAGAGGTGACATAACATTTGTATTAACAGCCTGTGTTATTTAAATACATTAGTAATTTATCAAATACTGCATTCTGCAATTTTTATTCAATTTTTCATATGCTCTTGCACAATCTTAACATTGAAGCTAAATTTATCTTTGAAATGAATTTTTTTTTTGTACTTTGTTCTTAATATGCCTTTTTTTTTTAATAGGATGAACTGACTCAGAGATTAGCCAAGCTGAGGCAGTCTTAGTTCACCTGAAATGCAGCTGATTCAAGTCTTATGTGTATATTTTTATTATAATAGTGGCAACAAAAGCCTTGTATATTTGTTATGGTTGCTCTTGCACTTGCTTTATAGAAGGTGATTGTCGAATTGAAGATGTAAAAATATGACCTCCGTACTATTTCATTATTTGCTGAATTATACATAAATTTATGAAATAAATATTTATTTTATATGTTTCTTCATTGCTTGAATGTAAGATTTATTCATTGGTGTGAACTGTCTATTTTGGATTAGTAGTGATCATTTTTGACTTATTACAAAGTAATAAAATAATTATTGGGGATGGGAGGTATAATGTAGATGCAGAAATATAAACCATAGATACTAAGAATAAAAATATATATAATGGCTGTTTCTAGCCTTAAAGCTGCGAATTCACAGTTTTAAGTTCTTAAATCCCGTCTTCTGGTCTCGAGTTTGTTTTTTGGTTTATATATCTAATTTGTGTGTGAATTCTTACATATAAATCAGTTGTAAAAAAAAAAAAAAAAAAAAAAAAAAAAAAAAAAAAACTTTACCTTTGTTCGATTTAGGGAATATCTGTCTGAGCAGCTGGCATTAAATAAGTGATCTTAAGTAAGATCAAGTTATAATTTTGTTAAGCCTAGCTACTTAGAAATTTTTTTTTTTTTTCCGCATTCGAAGTTAATGCCGTTATCTCTTTACATTAATAAATGTTTGCCATCTAATTTCAAAATTTAAATGTTTGTTTACCCTTCTCGGGAAGGAAATGTGATATTTCTTTTGAGAAACCTGTGATACCAAATGAAACTTATGTTTTTAGCACTGAACATACTGCAAGGCATTGTAGGGGGAGGAAGAAACTAGTGTTGTGGTCCGTATTTTAAAAGAAATCGTATTGAGGTAAAATATTAACTTGCACATGGAACCTCAAAATGTGTAGTACATGCAAAATGTTAGTCTTTGTAAAATTAGTTAACTATTCATACTAATATTTGTGAAAAAAAGCCACCATTAAAGTGGTAATTGTAATTTTTATATTTAATTTTGGTCTTGTAAATAACATATATTTTATCTTAAAAGGTAATTTTGGAAGTAAAGAAATACACAATTTAGAATTTTTTAAAAAAATTTATTGAGCTGACATGTTATTAATAAGGTGCGATATGAACATTGATGTCTTACATTGTACAGCTGTATTTTTAATGCTGGGTTCCATAATCTAATACTCTAAATATAACCCACTCTTCTGTGATACACCAAAATAAATCACATGCTTTTAAAATGTAAAATTTTCACTAGAATTGCATAACATTATGAAGATAAATATTTGCTATTTTGAATCAAAATAAGACAGAAATTATTTTTGTTATACTGTGTCTTTTTTTAAACTAAAATATTCAAATAAATTAAGAGCTGTTTGATTGTTTTAATAAAAGCTTTAAAACCTTTATGGGCATAAATTGAAGTTATAAATAAATAGTTTTTTATTGTCACAAAACATGTCAGTGCTATTTTTCTTAGTATCCAGAACTTCCTAAGAGAGTTCTTTAAAATTTATACAGGGTGGTATTAAAAAAAAAAAAAAAAAAAAAAAAAAACCACCTTTCCTGATATATAAACCCCTAGCAGGCTAGGCGCTCAACCAATCAAAATAAAATTTCTGATATCATTATTTGAAGATATGCACTTAAGATTGTGATGATTTAAAACGAAATGGAAGAAATTTATTAACTTAATTGGCAGTAACTCTTTTAATTCCTGCTCTTAATTTAGCTGCATCCTTGGTCTGGAATCTGAACTGCATCACTTATGCCATTAATTTCATCTGCAATGTAAAAGCTCTTGTCCAGTCATTGTCTAGTACTCAAACAAAGGATTCTTGACGTTATATATAGACCCCAGCTGCTAATATGCAGTCACTTTTTCATACAAGCTCTTTCCAGCCAATACACGTCTCACTGCTTTACTCTTTACTCATTGTTTCAGAATGTAATAAGTATATATAGAATTGTGGAGATGTTTGTTACACCCCTACAATGATGATGTTATGTGGAGAAAGGAAATTACTGTCTAATAAAATAAAATTATGTGTAAAGTATTCAACATCTACAAGTTTCTTCTATCATGCATCCTGTTCATGTGTGCCTGACGTATCTCATCTGTAATTAAATCATCATATTTATATATATAAATGTAAAATACGAAAGACAATTAATTGGTAATAGACCTTTAAACTTCGGATTTAAATATTAAATCCAACCCCCTTCATAATTTCATTGATGCAGCATTTCTTTCTGTGCAGAGATCCGCATTGCTGTGAGCTCTTATCCAACCATCATTTAGAACTTGAACAGAAAATTTCCAAGCATAAATATGCTAGCTGTGTTGTGTGCACTTACTTTTCTAAACTGTCGCCTGCATCCACTGTAATGTGCCAATCAAGAAGCCATCTGTAATAGTCATCAAATAATAAAGATGTGTTGTGATTATCTTGTTATTTGTGCTTCTAAAATTTTATCCAGTCATCTGTGCAACTAGTATTTTAGCTACCTTCCAATTTCATTTCTACTTTGGCCTTGACTGAAAGTTATTGGTATCTTCTATACTAAGTGCTATCAGTGTACTATTTCCCAAATAATCACACACGTACATATACACCTGTATATATGTACCATTATTTGTTAAAAACAGTAAATAATAATGGAATTTTAGTTTGAATGAGTGCCATTCTAAGAAAAAAATATTAATTTTCCTAAAGAGCGTGTTATCGGTCATTCAAAATTTATACCAACCTAAGGCTGCCTTTTTGCCGGATTTTAAATTAAACCTTGGTATTTTTTTTTTCCCAACATGCTGTGCCATTTGGCATTATACAGAAAGGGAGGGATGCCTGGTGGAGGAATTTATAAGGGAAACTGCCTCCTATCCACATTATAAAAGGCGGAAACTACAAAAACACCTATACAGCAGCCTGTTACCTTGCCATGTTTCGGTGTTATTCAAACAAATTCCATCTTTAGAAAAATGGGATTCTGTTGTATTTCCAAATACTATCGCTGTTAGTTCTAAGTAGGATACGATTAATGTATATTGAGACCTTAGGTACCAGGTCTGGCCCAGAGCTGGTGCAAGAATTTGCAAAGACAAACTGGGCAGCAGAATTTGAGAGCCACAGTTTGCACCAGGTGATGTGGTGTTTTGTTAAGTTTGGGATAAGCATAGGGCTGGTGTTTCTGTACTTTCACCCCCTCTATGCCCATTCCAAAATTTTATGAACCAAAAGCTATAATATTTCACTTTCGCGATTTTTGGAAGACTTTGAAGCTTTCTTAACCTAGGCACAACTTTTCTGGTCAACAACACTGAAGCATCATATTCAAAGAAATGAGTTGTAGCTTTTCTACCTGATACTTCGCTGTAGCAAAGATGGTCTACTTTTTTCCCTTCCCCCATCGTTCTTTTATTATAAGCTTTTACGTAGTTCACACTCGGTGTTTGTCAGCGATTTTTGAACAACTTCCTGATAAGATACTCAATTCAAATTTTGCATACACACTGTTTGTGCATGAAATAGAGTGACAGAAAGGATTTTTTCAAAATTGGATTTTTATTTTTATTTTATTTTTTTTTTTTTTTTAATGTTGAAACTATTCTTCACTCATATCTTTATTTAACTAACATAGTAGAAATCTCAGAAATTTACTATATGCAGCATCGTGTATATATATAAAAAAAAAAAAATCTTTTAAATGAAATTTTTAACATAGCTGTTGGTTTTTTTGGGCCAGTTCTAGAAAATCGCGCGCTTTTTTTTTTTTCCCCCCTATTTGATGTCAATGATTTAAAAAATTCAACGTCTAAAAATGCATCAGTTACAAAATTTTTGAGTTTTTCGCAGATTATAAAACAAACTCTTCGCCCTCTCTTAAAATGAAAATATTTGGTTACATTATATATTTGGTAAATATTACAGCAACACTTTCTTTCAAAATTATGTAACTAGAACTTTTTATCATTGCAGCCAGCAATTAAGTTTATTAAAGTAATAATCTTTCAATGTGTGGTTCAGAGTAAATATTCATTATAAGAAGAAAAATGCATTTACTCAGTGGACTATTCAAAAAAACTTTTATTGATGCCAATCAACTAAATGACAAGCTTCATTCTCAACTCTTTTAAAAATATGTTTTTATTCTATCTCTTTCTATAACCGGCGCAGAAATAACTTTTAGCTTTGATGATTAAAGTCCCATTTAAAGAATAAAACATGTAAATCTCGATTAAATGGAATGATTTTTTTTAAGTGAAACGTTTTTTTGGACTATTGATTAATAGACAGGTTCCTTTTAGACCACGGACTCGTCTCACAGTGTGCCCTCCATCAAAATTAGGGGCGGAACTGAGCAAAGTCCTACTGTCACTTGTATGATGCTCCAGGCTTCTGCCAATGACAGGCGCGATCTTGCACTTGTTGCCACGATGAATTTCGTGGACTTGCGCTGATGTTGCTGTCAGACAAGTGAGATAAGTCACAACAACAACTCTTAATACACCATCAAGGAAGATCAATGAGTCAGTTTCAACACAAATTCTTTGCATATTTCACTTTAGAATAAGATGACTACCAAAAATGTTAAAGGAGAAAAAGAAAACTTAAGCATACTCCTGAACAGTCTTCCATTTTCAAAAGTTAGCAAACTCTTTTTTTTTTTTTTTTTTTTTTTCTTTTTACTTTCCAGATTACTTTATTACTTTTTACTTTTGAGATTCGTATTTGCTTGAGCTCTTCGTCTAGTAAGGTTGCATAATCGTATTTTTTAGTGCAGCTAATTTTATAAAAACTGCTGTCTGCATGCCAGGGATTTTCTACAAGCAGCAGACAGTTCTTACTATTTCTCAAATCTTCAAATCTGTTTTAAAATTGTTTGGAAAATGCCTCTAAGTAATTTGAAATTATTGTTCAGTTTTTCTGGAAAAAAAATCTTTGAGAAAACTCAGGTAATTTCCTTTTTGGACTGCATGTATAAAAGTTCCCCAAGCAACATTATTCTATGGGCCTGAGTTGAGTATGGATCCTGTTAGGTGATTCATACTCTTGCGTATGCCGAAGAAATTTTTGATACGTTTTTATATATATCGAGAAAGCTTGATTTTATTTTGCAGGAAAAACAATTCCTGCGACCATCGTAATTTTTTTGTTGTGACTTGCTGAAAGGTC